AGCATCTTTGGCTCCAGGATGATTTTTGCTTCACTTTTAGTAAAAAATTTTTAAAAAAAAGACTAGAACAGGCAAACTTTCCTGCTAACTCTGCATTTCTTCTAAGCATCATTTCCTCTTTATCCTTCATTTTTTATCTAATTATTTCCCAAAGATACGTTGTAAACAAACATATTTTCTTTAGATGTGTTCTTAGATAATGAGGTCACTCCCACATTAACATGGCTTCAAACAGACACACAATTATACAGCCACACGTCTTTGAAAAGCATTAGTAGGGCCTTCTGCACAGTGACTGTTAAAGGGATCACTGTATTATGGAAAATTAACTTCTTTACGATTTTTCCCCCCATAAAAAATGTCCCTGCAGAGCTGCTTTCTGGCCCATCAGAGATGATTTTCTCTGACCTGCAGATTCTGATTCATTTTCTCTACAATGTGGCAAATATAAAAACAAAGTTGCTGAGTTGGCAACAGTGCGCTGATTGTTAACATTCAGACATGACCTGGTGGGCGGAGCTAACAGTCAAACCTCCATCTCTGTGAAGGTGGAACATCAGACAAAATTAAGAAAATCGGCCGAGTTATCTCTGATCTCTGACTAATTAGCATTTTGAAAAGCAGAGTCTGATATTAATGCAGGATATTCATTTAAATGTTTGAATGTCACATCTGCAGACAAAAACCTTTGATTTTTAAATTTGTAACAAAGTCTCCAACATGCAAAGCTTGATCAATACATGATAAAATCCTTGGGTTGCAGATGCCTTGGGCCGGCTCTGCCTGTGTGTTTCCCTGCTGCAGGAAACTTTCTGCTGAAATAAAAGAAAACCTTGTAAAGCGTTTTGATTCTGATTTGATTTCAAATGATTCTGATTTGACCTTTTGTCTCCATGGCTGCAAACGAGACGTTGAAATGAATCAACGGTTATTTTTGTGAGGAAGAGGAGATGAAGGTCGAGGAGGAAGAGTAATTAGGTATTTTCTCAGATATTCAACTAAGGTTGTTTTTTATGGTGGGTGAAAATATTGATCAAGGAAACATCAGGGCTCAGATCAGACCCAGGATTTCCTGAAATGACCTGAAAATAAATGTATTGATAAATGAGTCTAATAATCACTAGTAGAGCTTTCCTCTGCTTCTGATGTTTTCCTGTTGTTGCTTATTCTTGGACGGTACTTATATTTACTGAATTATATTTGCATGTGTAACTTTTTGAGAAAATACCTCTAGGAGGCTTTTCTTTTCACTTTTACTTGAGTGAATTATTACAACGTATTTCTGCTCTTACTTGTGTAAAATTTCTAGATTTTCTTCCCACTGAATGAAAATCCAACATGTTTTAATAGAAAAAATTAACCAGACACAAACCTGCAGCTTCTGTTAAATTTTCTGAAGTTTTTTATTGAAAGCAACTGATTTGGACAAAAACTTTATTTTGCCTAATTTTGTTGTTTTAAACAAATAAAATGAGTTTAATTATTTGAATTAAACTCGTTTTGATCCTTAAAATCCCAACATTTCCACTTAACTTTATATTTTTTCTGTCATTTTTAAATATTAAATGATTGATAATTGGCAAATACTTTTCCCGTCTTGGTAATTTCTTGGACGGATACTTTTAGTTTTTACTTGAGTAAAAACTAGATTCTGTTACTGCAGTAAAACTTTTAGGAAACTCTGCCCGTCTTTTGGTTGCCTAGCAGCAACCTGCCGGGTCACTGGCGCAGCAGCAGTTTGAGGTTTTTGACTCAGAATTGCTGAGAAATAAAAACAACGTGGAGAGAAAACTGGATAAAACAGGAACCGTCTCAAAACAACAAGGAAAAGAATCGATTGTTAGTGATAACTGATATGAAATGCTTACATGGGGATGTTTTCCAGACATGTTGTCCAGGCCGTGTCTTTGTTAAAGTTTTGGACATAAAGGACATACTTTTGCTTCTTCCTGAACAGCTCAGGTGTTTAATTTACTCTGCTAAATGTAGCTTTATCAGAAATATATAATAATTGTAATTCCAGATCCAATGTTTAATTGGGATTATTAAAAGCATAAAATGAAGTTATTTCTTGCAGTTTATTAAAACGATCGTTCTGTTTTAATACATTTAAATAAATAGCTTTTCAGTGAGACCCAGCGCTTGTTGCCAACTGTTGCCTCACTGAAATCTGACTCTCTACTTTCACTCCTGTCTCAGTTTGTGTCGTTTCTCTCCTCTGTTGTCATTTGGTAGTGAAAAAGCTTCTCTCTGTCTGACTTTCATTTTTCTCTTTTTGTTTGCAGGTTCCTTTCATCTTCTCCTCCTTTCCCTCCCTTGTCTTTGAGGTGACATTTGAACCTTTTCTAAAGCTCTCGCTGCTCATCCTCTGAGTCTAATAAACACAAAAACCTCCAGATTGTAGAGAAAGATCAAAGTCGGCAAATGTAAAAAGCTCTCAAATGTAACTGCTGCTCGTGGTTTTCTTCATTAGTCGGATTCAAACGGCAGATCTGTGCACCGCTGATGTAAACCAATTACACAATTTCATATAAAACAGTTGAAATTTAGCATGGCTATAATGAACTTTATGCAAATTCACACATCCTGATGTTAATCACATGCAAAGAACTTCTTTAATCACGTTTAGAGGAGTGATACGATCCTGTTCCTTCAGCTATAATCTACACCCTGGAGTCGTTAATTTATGCGCACACAAACACCAGGCTATGCCCACTTTCATCACGTTCTGCTAACAGCTGGGATTTCATCATGCTTCCTCCGTACTACGGGGAAACATTAGTGCCTTTACTGGAGTCCCACACGCACCGGTATCTGTGAGGTCTGCTGGAAACCCAACCACCAGCCAAGCGCCTCATCAGATCTCTGAAGGCGTTTTAATTATTGAAAACACACAAATCATTCATGAGGCAACAACCCAAAAGTAAAATGAAATAAAACAACAAGCAGAGTGTAGGAGGCATTGTTGTCACCACCAGAGGGCGTATTGTTTTGTTTTCTGAGTGTCTGAGGGGGAAGGCTTATTTAAGGTCCATTGTAATGGTGTTCAGGTGTTGACCATTGGGAAGAGGACACAGTTTTTACTGTGTTTGGTTTGAGGGTTAGAAACGAACTTTTATGTATGTAAATGGAAATTATAATAAAAGACTTTCATACTAAAGAAGATCAGTATTCTGAAACTTTATCTGAACGCACGTAAAACCAAACTACACCCAGAGGCAACCACTAGTAGCCCTAAGTAGACCTTTCTCTTTGGACGCTACACAGAGAGAAACAAAAAATTAGACTAAAGGAAGAGTCGCCATGATTTTACTCCAGTAAAAATACCTGGAAAAAGTTTCCTAAAAGAGCCGATCAAATGATCAATCATTTAATATTTATAAATTACACACAGAACAAAAGATAAAGTTACTTGGAGATTTTGGTATTTTAAGAAGCAAAATGACAATAATTCATATGAGAAACAAGAAAAAGTTTCCAAATCAGTTTAATTCAATAAAAACTTGTTAAACTTGAAGCTGCAGGTTTGAGTTTATTTCTGGTTAAAACATGTTTGATTTTCATTCAGTGGGAAGAAAATCTAGAAACTTAACTCAAGCAAGAGCAGAAATACTTTATCATAAAACAACTCAACAGAAAGTTGAAAATAAAATACTCCTTATAAACAAGTTACTCCGGTAAAAGTTATTGAGTAAATGTGACAACCTCCAGCTGTGATGTGCAAATGGTTCGTAAAATATCATTATGATTCCACAGCTTTATGATTTAAAATCAATATTTTAGAGGAAATGTTGATTTTATTGTGAAGTTTTCTCTTACTGAATTTTCGACCCACTGAATGAAAACAAACATTTTAAAAAAAGTAACCAGACTCTTTCTGATCTGGAAACATTTTCTTTTGCCTGATATTTATATGATTTTTTTGTTCCTCATGTGAATTATTGTCATTTTTGTCCTTCAAATGCTAAAATTTCCACTAAATATCACATCAGTCTCATGATGTAATTTTTAAATATTAAATGATTGATCATTTGATCAGTTGGGTCGACTTTTTACCAAATATTTTTTTACGTTTACTTGAGTAAAAATATGTTTGTTGCTCTGAGAGTCATCCTGATGATCAGGACAAATTTCTGCATGATACTTTTTCCTTGTGAAAGATTGAATCCTTCCTGCAGCTTCCTGCAGCTTTCTGTAGCTTCCTGCAGCTTTCTGCAGCTTCCTGTAGCTTTCTGTAGCTTTCTGTAGCTTCCTGCAGCTTTCTGTAGCTTCCTGTAGCTTTCTGCAGCTTCCTGTAACTTTCTGCAGCTTTCTGTAGCTTTCTGCAGCTTTCTGTAGCTTTCTGCAGCTTCCTGCAGCTTTCTGCAACTTCCTGTAGCTTTCTGTAGCTTTCTGCAGCTTTCTGTAGCTTTCTGCAGCTTCCTGCAGCTTTCTGTAGCTTTCTGCAGCTTTCTGTAGCTTCCTGTAGCTTCCTGTAGCTTTCTGCAGCTTTCTGCAGCTTCCTGTATCTTTCTGTAGCTTCCTGTAGCTTTCTGTAGCTTCCTGTAGCTTCCTGTAGCTTTCTGCAGCTTTCTGTAGCTTTCTGCAGCTTTCTGTAGCTTTCTGTAGCTTTCTGTAGCTTCCTGTAGCTTTCTGTAGCTTCCTGTAGCTTTCTGTAGCTTTCTGCAGCTTTCTGTAGCTTCCTGTAGCTTTCTGCAGCTTCCTGTAGCTTTCTGCAGCTTTCTGTAGCTTTCTGCAGCTTTCTGTAGCTTTCTGCAGCTTTCTGTAGCTTTCTGCAGCTTCCTGTAGCTTTCTGTAGCTTTCTGCAGCTTTCTGTAGCTTTCTGCAGCTTTCTGTAGCTTTCTGCAGCTTTCTGCAGCTTCCTGTAGCTTTCTGTAGCTTCCTGTAGCTTTCTGCAGCTTCCTGTAGCTTTCTGTAGCTTCCTGTAGTTTTCTGCAGCTTCCTGTATCTTTCTGCAGCTTCCTGTAGCTTTCTGTAGCTTTCTGTAGCTTTCTGTAGCTTCCTGTAGCTTTCTGTAGCTTTCTGCAGCTTCCTGTAGCTTTCTGCAGCTTCCTGTATCTTTCTGCAGCTTCCTGTAGCTTTCTGCCGTCTTTGTGTTTTGTCCTCAGAAACCTGCAGCAGATCTGCGGAGCGTCAGGCAGGTGAGTGTTTTAAAAAGCTCTGTGAGGTTTGCGTTGTGAGATGAGGAGGAAGAGAACATCTGCCGCGGCGGGTCGGGCGTCGCTTGAACGCCTCCAGCCGTGACGCTAGTGGGAACGGGCAGCAAACTGGGGCACACTCTGCTAATGGGCCTCTCAAACTGGGAGGACTGGTGACCAGTGTCTTGCTTTGCCTCAGACTTTATCCTTCTTGTTTCTGTTTTTGCTTTTTTAGAGTTTATTCAGAGTTTTTCCTTCTTAATTGTCTCTGATTAGTCGGTTTCTTGTTGTTACTACTTTTCATTTTGACTTTACAGGAATAACAATTTGGATTTTGATGATTAGAGAAGAAAATACAAGAAATAATGTGACTACACTCTTAATTCATTTACAACATTGGCTTCAGCATTGAAGCATGAAGGTTTGGCTCCAATAAAATAACTTATATTATGGAAAACCATAATATTTGGTTTTCCAGACCAAATGACATGAAGTGTACCCAAACTATTGCTTCTCGTCAAAAATAATTGTTGCAAATTTCTAAAATAACAAACAAAAAACTCTGACATGAAATAAATGTTCATTTCCAGGACATTTTGTTGTCTTCATCGTTCCTCTCCTCTGTCGATAAGAACAATATGTAAACTGTTTTTCTGTGTAAGAGAATTTAGTTTGGCTTAGTCAGTGTTATTTTAAATATATACACTAGCTTGGTGCTCTTGGGGGCCCTCTGGTGGTGTGGGGCTCTACACAGCCGATTAACTCACGTATGCTTTGGGCCGGCCCGGCTAATAACAGGACATAAACCAGAAGACACAAACATTTTCTGGAAAATGGGCTCAACTTTGAGATCCCAAAGATCTCATCCTTCTCCTGAGATTTATTGTGACATAAAACCCCTGAACATTTTTGTTGGGTTTGTCGTTGCGTTTCCTGTAGAAGCTCAGCTGAGAGGAGAGGAAGAGGAGCTGATGAAGAGCGGAGCTGACGCTTTGCTTTAAACGATGTGGACAGGTGAAGACGAGAGGGCGTCAGGTCAGACTGAGGAAACGCAGCGCAAACAAAGTCTGAGACCAAGTTAGTTTCTCATGTCACTCGTTTCTTTTCTGCTCATTCTATAGAAAATCAATTCCATTCGATAATAAGGAATCGATGGCGGTTTTATTGTTTTTAGTTAAAAAATGTAAACAAAAATGGCATAAATTCAAAATATTTGACCTGATGAATCCTGACCCAGCACACAAAGTTCAAAGATTTATTTCATTTTGTGTGTTTAGTATTGGGCATTTATTTATTTATTTATTTTTTCAGTACAGATAAAGTTGGATTTATTGTGATGATAAATTAAAATTAATGTTCAGAAACAGACTAAAATGTTATGTTTTACTATTTTTTCCCCCTTTTTTCTATAAGAGCAACAATAAATGTCAGTAAATTTGGAAACATGATTATATAGATTATCTGTGTGCTAGTGATATAAATCACACTAAATTAAATAAGTGGCTTATTTTAAATAGGGATGTTTTCAGACAGCAGCATGTATGTTTTTGGCTCTAGGATAATTCTGTGCCATGCAGTTACAAAAATACTTGTAAAGAAATTTGTATCATTATTTCTAGTACTGCAGGATTTTGTTCCATTAAATCTTGGGTACTTATTTTTTTAAATTACAATAAAAGTCTGAGAATGGTGGGAGAAAAACTAATTTCATCTGAAAAACATGTCCAGCATTCAAACCAGATTCAGAGCCGGGCCTTCTGGGGTCATAGATACAATAAATATGCTGAGAAAAAGCAAACAAACTGAGATTTAATCTTATTTCTAGATGCCAGATGCAAAAAACGGTTTTAAATGTGCTTCAAAACTTAAGTAAACAGTGATTGAAAGCCTCAGCAGAGAGGAACAGGTGGAGGTCTCCCTCTGTTGCTTTTGGATGATGCACCTGAATCAACTCCTGCAATGCATAAAAATTGATTTTTTTTATCCTAATCAATGCAGTTTAAGAATCTGCCAACCAGAGCGGGACTGAGGCAAATCAATCAGCAGAGCTGTGTGGAATACCAGAGTAAGTGGTTTGTTCGCGCTGACGGATGAATTCTTCCTCCTCCTGCAGAAATGAAGCATCAGGCTCCAGGCGGCCATCTTGAACAGAACCAGAGAGGACGCCTGATCGGGTCGCAGCAGAGAGGAGGAATCAAGGATCAGAACCCGACGGCGGATTAACTTGAGCAGCAGAAAACCCAACATATTTAAAAAGTAAAGGTAAAAAGTATTTGATAAAAAGTCAAACTCAGGTACTGATGAGCTGATCAAATTATCAATCAATCTATGAAAGTAAAAGTTGAGGTAAAAATTATCCTTTTCAAAAAAGTAACTCCAATACATGTAACTGAGTAAATGTATTTTATCAGCCATAGTAGAACTGAGAGATTTATAACGATGTAAAGGTCAATAAACTGATCAGGTTTTTGTTTTCAATATCACATTTCCTGCTTCATCCAGTTTTCACTCCTTTGTTTTCGTTTGTTAGCTGTGAGAAGCTAAGCGGCTAACGTCTTTCCTCTGCCTCCATCTCCCAGAATGCTGTGCGGTCTGGATCAGATTTCAGTGAAATTACTGAAACTTTTTTCAGATGTTTTATCAATTGATATTAATATTGATGTGCAATAAACCATTAATTAACAGTGAAACATATTTTTTCCAGATTTTCCGAGCTTTAATTGGACGCTCCTGATTGGTGGCTGATTTAGTCAGAAAACACAAGATGATCGTTTGAGTTGCAACGTTAACAGTTTTCATCTCAGCAAAAAAAAAATCTTATTTTTTCTGTCCTTCTGTGTTGTCTTGTTTATTCAAATTAAATTGTTTGTCTCTCTCCGTATTAATTATAAACTACAAACATTTAGTGAACTGGTTGTTAAAGAACCTTCTTCCATCTTGTGTTTTCTTTCTGTAACTGAGTCTCTGCTGCCTCTGTTCTCTCTCTGTCTGGATTTTCTTTTTCATTTTTTATTTCTCACAGGGCAATATTTCCAAATTGGTTCTGGTTTTGGAGAAAAGTCTGAAATCCCAGAGACAGTGATGCTCTAAGATGAATTAAAAGGTTTGTAATCAAAAGATTATAGAGTTTTTGTAAAATGTCATTTTTCAAAATGACATTTTGAGCCACAGAAACTCATCTGACTGATTCAACTGAATCTCTAAAGGTTTTAGATGGCAGTGAGGTCACAAAGTATTCTTTATTTTAAATGTTTGTGATGTAATTGTACTGTTTCAAGTGTAATTGTGCAAATTTTTATGTTTATGAAAGAAAATACTAAGAAATAATGTGACTTGATTTAAGCATTTATGTTGATTTATTTAGACACATTTGGTACTTAATCGTCAAACTCCAATTAAATAACATTGATGAGCAAATCATTAGAAATCTATTTCTCCTCGCCATGAATTATGTCACCAAGTAATAAAAACGCTAAATCTTACCATCTTAGTTCCCTTAAAGTAAGATAAATAACTTACAAGTAACATTTTTAGTAAGTTATATGAGCTTGTTTTACGTCAACAATTATTGATGAAAATGTTTGAGTTTCACTGGCAGAATATTTTACAGAGAACCGTTACCTAGCAACCCCGGCCACGCCCAGCCCGTTACCTAGCAACCCCGGCCACGCCCAGCCGTTACCTAGCAACCCCGGCCATGCCCAGCCCGTTACCTAGCAACTCCAGCCACGCCCAGCCCGTTACCTAGCAACCCCGGCCACGCCCAGCCCGTTACCTAGCAACCCCGGCCACGCCCAGCCCGTTACCTAGCAACCCCGGCCACGCCCAGCCCGTTACCTAGCAACCCCGGCCACGCCCAGCCCGTTACCTAGCAACCCCAGCTATAGTTCCACTGTCAGATTATTTGACTTTTAATCTGGAAAATGTCTTGATGAGGGAAATAATCTGCCAATGGAACCAGAACATTTTCATTGATAATAAGGAATTATTGGAAAGTATTTTAGTTTTGTTCTACAAACTAGACCAGAAATACTTGGTGAGATTTTGTGTTTTTGCAGCGAACAAACAAAAACCTTTTTGATATTAAAGGAAATGTTTTTGTGCAGGACTTTCGGCCGTGTCTTTCCTCTCTCCTATCACTCTGTAAAAATGTCTCAGATGATCAAACAATGTCTTTTCTCTCACATGGCTCGTTCTGGATTACTCACCTGTTCCTCCCTGCAGGCCTATTAAGCCTCTCTACAGTCATGGCCGCCGCCCGGCCAGCTCTGCATTCATTATGGTCATTAACTTCTGGACTGAAAATGAATGGTGGAATAATACAATTCAGAGAAATCTGAAACTGCCTTTTACCAAGGGGCCGTATGAGGATAGCAGGCAATTTCACATCTCATTCGCCAGAAGTGTTCTTATTGAATATGAGACGACTGGGAGAGGAGAATAGCAATGTGGTTCCTTACATTTCACCCGGATAGATGGAGGCCGGATGTCTGTGCGCTCCTCCCCATGTATCACACATCGCCCTGGCTGGACCCATTGTTGGAGATAATATGGTCTTAAAAGCTTCCTTTCTCTTCTGGGCTGAAAACAGGATCCTCCATTCAGAGCGAGTCCTTTACCTGCCCCCGCCAACCAGACAGCGGCGTTAGTTAATTTTTCAGGAGGACGTGCAGCATTGTACCGCCGCTCATTTCAATCTCAGCCGACAAGGAGTCCCTGTCGTCTTTGGGCTCTTTTCTCTGTTCTGATCCATCAATAAAAACAGGGCCAGGTAATGGCTTATAATCCAATGGCTTATAATCCAATGGCTTATAATCCTTTCAACCCTCTACTGACCTTCTCACTGAGATCCATGGAAATGAGTTCACACACCAGGACTATTTGCTCCGTCTTTCCTGTGGACATGAAATCCTCAGCAAAACAAAAGATTACACTTTTCAGCCCATCACGAAAAGCTGAAATGAGAAGATTTTTCCTTTGGATTTGAATCAAACAGGCTGCAAGGCCACAAATCATCATTCAGATTTTTTATATATGATTTTCTTTTATAATGGTACTACTGCAAAAACACTCAATTTTACCAAGTAGTTTCTATTTAAAATGAGATCAAACCAACTTCAGAGGGCAAAGAACCAAAAACGATACTTCAATAAGAGCAGCTCTATTTCAACATGGTTATAATCAAATAAAACTAAAAAGCAGCCGTCCAGGAAATTACTAAGAGTAAAACATATCTGGTAAAAACTCAACTCAGCTTCTAACTGATCAAATTATCAATCCTGTAACAATTAAAAGTGACATAATCAGAAGGACCAAAATATAAAGTTCAGCAGGAATCTTGGTATTTTAAGGTCCAAAATGACAAAAAGAAACAAAACTAGGCAAAATATTTTTTTTTCCCAATTTAGTTTCTTCCAGTTTAAAACTTATGAAACTTTAAAAAACTGCAGGTGTGTCTTTGTGGCAGAAAACCCAGAAGTTTTACTTCAGTAAGAAAAACATCATAAAGAGGTTACAAATTAATTCCCAAATCTGACTGACTTACATGGAACATTTCAGATACATGAGCTTTTTGTAAGCAAATTATTCCTGAATATTGATTATAGGTGAAATAATCTGCCAGTGGAATCTGTGACTCTTTATTATTTCTTAAATCAAGCACCTATTTGGTCCTAAAGTTAGTTTTCTTACTTCAAATATATTTGTCCTAAAAACTGGATCAAATATACTTGGTAAGATTTTGTGTTTTTGCAGTGATTGATGCAAATTTGTTGATGAGCTGAAGGTTCAATTCCAGCTTCCTTCTGTCGCATTTCCCTGAGCAAGGCACTTAACCCAGGTTACAATCTGTTTATTATTGTTACAATCTTTACATGTTGGTGAGAGTTAATGTATTTACTGTTCATAAGAACCGAGCAGGCAGATAAATGAGACGTTTCTGTGTTTTGGTACCAGCAGAAACAGCCAGGTTTGTTCAGGATGTGTAAGTGTGTTAACATTGATCCAGGCCTGCTTTAGTGGTGACAGGGACTGAGAAGAAAAGCATAAATCCTATTTTATCTGGCCTTTATTTGGTCACCTGTCAACATCCATATTGATTTCAGTCTTTTTTATGAAAGCTTTGATATGTTTCCAGTCTATCAACCTGGACAGGTGCTTCAAGTTCTCTGGAGATTTTTTTAACAAGTAGGGAAAAAAACCAATAACTCAGATTTTAGCTGGTATTTCTTCTTGTTGTTGTTGTTACATAAATCATACGTTTACATACACAGAATAAAATACATTTTTGTCTCTCCATCTGAAGTTATATCAGACCAAACTTTTCTTGGTTTGGATTCATTTTTTTAAACTCCAGAAGTTGCAAAGAACAGTTTGAAGTTTGTACAGATTATGATTAAGAATAATTGTCTTTAAATAAACTGTATGAAGAGCCAGTTTTCAGGCTGCTTTTCCTTGTAAGATCCACCTGAAATGATTGTGATCAGGGTTTGTAAACACCAAAGCATCGACTTCGTTATCTTTAAGCCACTTTACAGCCAATTACCTGTGAGCTTTGGGTCACTGGCTGTTCGGAGGAGCGATCTGTTCCCAACCTTATCTTTCTGGTTACATGTGCCTAATAAAAGCTGAATGTACCATGATTAAATATTGAATAATGCTTAACTCGACTATTGACATAAAAGCAAAATGAAAACCTTTCATCAGAGTGTGCAGCTTAAATTGGTCTCATGCCAGAGTAAACAATGCATGATGACTGCTGCTGTCCTAGCAACACTGACTCCGGTTTGTGACTCCAACAGTCACAAACCGGAGTCATTACTCTAAATAACTTTGCACTCAGATGAAAAGAGATGCTAAACTTAGCAGAGATTGTATACATTGCAGAGCACATAGTGAACGACTAACGCTGCGGATGGCTGTTCATGGTTCCTCATACCTGGGAAAATGACCATAAGAAACCAGCATTGAAAGTGAAAGATATTTCTGTGCTTATTCTGAAAGTATTTACTTGAAAAACAAGATCATGGTTACAATCAGGAAAAGTCAAAGGATAAGTTGGCTCACAGTTTTAAAAGTGTAACTTTATAGAAAGTTAGATGCTTTAACTTGTTGGCTCACTTTGATCATTTTATCTTCTTACCTTTGTGTAAGTATTTCTGAACACAGCAGTGATGGATTAGCTCTACTGTTAATCTGTCAGAGAATTGGTGGTGGGTTGCCTTATTTTTTTAATTAACTGAAACACAGAGTCCTGC